ATTAACTGTTTTATTAAAAAAAAAAAAATTGTGGCTATATTCTAAAAATTAAAATATATATTCTTTAAATTTCATTGAATAAGGTCTGTTTAATGAGAGAGAACACGTGCATGTCTATTTCAATAAATGTAATGTCTGTTTATGTATGACATACTTTTTTATTATTTAAATGTAGCACCATTGTATGGAGGCCCAAACCTGCAGAAATTAGAAATGAACAAATGAATGAGTACATTTAATAACAGGAAAATAAATAACGGATTAAATGACTTGATAAAAATAAAGAACAAATAAAGTTAAAAATAAATACAAAAAAAGAAAGAAAACCATACTAAACTGTATTGCATTTGTTTTATCAAGCCATATATTCCATTATTTATGTTCTTATTATTACATTCTTTCATTTATTTAAAATTTTTGCAGGTTTGGGCCTCCATACAAGAGTCATGCCTTCATGACAATGCAGCCAGTGAAATAGTAAGATGCTTTCTATTTATTGTTTTTGTATTATTTTGGGGTAAACACACTTATCTAGTCAGTTCTGGAAAAATATGATTTATTTTGCTGCGGCTTTGCAGAGGTGCACAAATTCTCTTTCTTTTTGACTCTACATTTGGATCTCTAGTCTTGTGACATCTCACCCCTTATCTTTAGCATGTACATCGGCTCCGTGCTGCAGCAGATACTCCACCACAGCCACACGGTTGTATCCCGTAGCGAAGTGCAGAGGTGTGGACTGCCTTCCCTCAACGTCTCTACAGTTCACGTTCTGAAGAGTACAGAGCTTCTACATGGAAAGGTGAAGAACAATGTCAGCTCTAACATGGGAATCTGGTATAATCAACTTCAGAATGATTTCACAACTACATGGGAGAAAAAAACCATCACACTTTTTGGTGTATTTTTAGTCCTTACCTTTACGACTTCCAGATCTCCTGATTTGGAGGCTTCTAACAGCTGCCTGTCTGTATCTGAGTTGCCTGTGCATGCTCCCTCTAGGAATTACAAAATATTTTCTATAACTGCAAGCATGACACTTTGGCACTTTACAGGGCTCAACAGTGTGAGTGTTTCACTCACATCTTTGACTAGAAATAGATGAGCGAACTGTAAAATGTATTTAGGAGCATCTTGAAATTAAAGCCCCTGAAGATCTAAAAAATTCAGTTGTATGGAATTCAAGATCATAACAAGTCTTAAATATTTTAATGGTATAACAAATGTCTTATTATTTTTAAATTTGGGGATTTTTTTTCAGTCATACAGGTTTTGAAGGACATGAGGGTGAGGAAATTGTGAATCTGAAGTAAACATCACCTTGCAGTATCTCCTGAATGCTTTCATTGGCGAGCTGGGAGTGTGACAAGCCCTGTAGGGAGGTGATGAGCGGGTCACCTCCAGCACTCAGGAGCATTCGACAGGTCTGCAGATGGCCGCAGTGAGCCGCGCGGTACAGCGCCGTCTGACCCAGGTTATCTACCGCATTCACCTGCACAAAACAACAACACT